CTCTCTTTGAGCACGAGAAGACGCTGTACTCTCTCTCGGTGACTCTAATACCCCCGTGAGTAATGCCGACACAGAGACACAGTTGTCCCTCCTCTCTGCAAGAGATTGGTCTGAAGTGGTCTCAGAGCTCCTTTTTTTTGCGGGGGGGAAGGGGAGAGGATGTTTTAGCCGTTGTCATGTGACATGTGCATGGCTTGAGCGCCTAACCTCCTCTACCCTCTCCTGAATGAATGCTCAATGTCATGGTCCGTGTTAGCATATCACGAGACGGTTGTGTCCAAGAGGACCATGCCCAGGAGTGAGCAGTAGGGTTTCTGCTCAGCTTCCTTGGCAAACGCTGCGTGTGTGAATAGTGAGAATCCTGTGGCCGGTGGTCTGTGTCCGCGTGGAATCGGTAGTGCCCTGCTTTCCATTGGTGCATTTCCTGCTTTTCGGATGTATTCCTTTCCTCTTTCATGTGTTGGTTTTGGGCGTGATCATTTGCACATCAATTGCCATGGTGCTTTAGGTTCAGTTCCGAGAGGGAAGAGAGAGGTCCTTTAGCGGCCGTCCCACTCCTCTTTGTCCAGGTCATGTTCGGAAAAAAAGGGTTTCCATGGGCCCAGAGCTTCCTGTGTCTGTCAGGCTCCTTCCAGAGTGGGAAGCAGAGTGCAGCTCTCCAGCCCACCTTGCTATGTCCTTAGTTCCAGGAAACATCTCTGGTGAGCATATGAGTGTGCCCTGGTTCCTCTGTGCGCGAAGGGCTGTCTCTGGGTCAATGATGTCTACGCGGTCTGGGCCTTGAAGAGAGGTGATGACATAAAAATCCTGCTCAATAGGATTACGCTGAGGCCCACTGTGGGTGACAGATTGGTGGCACCGTGCTGGGGAGTCTTAGGATTCTCCCCAGCGTTGGGATTGGGAGCTGGAGGCAGGCAGATGCCTGAGAGGATGCCACGTGCCTCTCCCCGATCGCTTCCACGTGATCGTAGCCTTCTCCACGTTCAGCGGTGTTTTTGGTGCCCAGTAGGACCTCCAAGATGGCGGTACCAGAGGCCAACTCTTAAAACAAAACGTTTCTCCTCTGGTTGTGTCTTGCAGTGCGACCATCTCTCCAGATGGTGGTCGTGGCCTTCACGTCTCAGGTGAGTGGCTGACTTTTGTGTTGGACAGAGAGCACGTGTGCATGAAAATAAGCAGGGGGCTCTCTTTGGGCAAGAGAGACCCTGGTGCTGTATAATTGGTGACTCTAAGTCCTTGGGAACGGGCCGACCCAAAGCCAAAGATGTCCCTCCTCTCTGAAAGGAATCGGACTGAAAGGGGGCTCAGTGCCCTTTCGTGGGGTCCCGTGACAGTGTCATGTGACATGTGCATGGCTTGAGCGCCTAACCTCCTCTACCTTCACCTGAATGGATGCTCAATGTCATGGTCCGTGTAGGAATCGCGCCAAATTCCTGTGTCCAAGGGGACCACGCCCAGGCATGAGCAGTATGGCTCCTCTTGAGTTTCTTGCAAACCCAAAGGTTGTGTGTGCTGAAAATCGTGTTGCTGGTTATTTTTTGTTGGTGATGTGGAATCATACTGCCTCCATTTCCATTGATGGATTTTTTTTATGTGATTCCTATTATTTGTTTGTTTGGTCATGTTGTTTCATTCATTCTCTCCTTTCCTGGTTTTGGAAGTGGTCATTGGCACATAAACGAACAAGTTCCCTTAGAATTCAGGTCTGATATGAACAAGATGGGTCCTTTAGAAGCCCTGTCACTCCTCTTTTTCCAGGTGATGTTCCGAAAACAATGGCCTTCATTTGGCCTAGAGCTCTCCTGGGCTCTGTCTGTCAGGCTCCTTCCAGAGTCGGAACAGTGCAGCTGTCAAGCCCACCTTGCTCAGTCCTCAGCCCCAGGAAACATCTCTGGTGAGCAAACGAGTGTGCAGTTGTACCGATGCCCGCAGAGTGCCTTCGTTGGGTCAATGATGAGAACGCATTGTCTCGAAGAGAGATGATGACTAAAATAAAGTTCAGTGTGAGTGATCTGAGGCCCCGTGTCCGTGACCATTTTGAGGCGCCACATTTGGGAGTCTGGCTTCCCTGGGAAACAATGGGTTTGGTTTCTGAGGCAAGCAGTGCCCGGGAGGGGTACCTTTTGCCTCTCCCGGGTCTGTTTCTTGTGAACATCTCTGGCTCACGTTCTCGGGCTGTTAGGCCTGTTCTCCCACGGCCTTCCTGAAGGACGTTTTTACTAATTTTTTCTGTCTTTGTTTCTTGCAGTGCGACTATCTGGAACATGGTGGCTGGTGCCTGGACGTTGAAGGTGAGTGCATTTCTGTTGTCTTACTTGCGGAGCAGGTGTGCCCTTGTGTAGTAATGATGTTTATATGTTCTTTTTTGTTATTATTGATTTTATGGAGAAATTGAGGGTGATGGGAAGAGAGAGAGATTGAGATTCTTTGATCTGAGTCAGAAACATCGGTAGGTTTCCTCCTGTCCCCGCCTTGTCTGGGGCTGGAACCCGAAATCTGGGTCTGTGTCCTACTCTGAATTGAGCCACTAGGTTCTGGTTCCTCAGTGATGAGGTAGAATCATTGATGTTTCTGTCGCTCTTTCCCTCTCCCTTCCTCTGTGAAATCAGTAAAAATCTATTGACACAATGACCGTGGGACCCATTGTAGTTCTTGACGATTTTTTTACCCCGGTTGTTTTCTCAGTCTCCGTCTTTGCTTTTGTCACATTTTTCCAAGACAGGGCTGTAAGAGGTCTGTCCCTTCAGCGGCCAGGGGTGAGTACCTTCTCGTGACCTTTGGCATTGATGTGGCACGTGTCCCGTGACCTCTCCTGCGATCTCTGTCCGTGCCCGGGAGGGCATGGGTGCTTGTGAGGACATGGGTGGGGAACCTTTTTCCTGCCAACAGCCATGTGGGTATTGATACTATCATTCGGGGGACCATGCCACATGATTAACTTAAAAATTAGCCTGCTCTTTTGTCCAGCATTTAATTAACTCACCCCTAATGCCTTGGCAGGGCCAGGCCACATGACTTCATGGGCCTCCTACAGTCTATGGACTGGATGTTCCCCACCCGTTTTAGAGCCTTATTTAAAAACTAGAGGCCCGGTGCATGAAAATTCATGCACCGGGGTTGAGTGTCTTTTCATGTCTCTGTTGTCCGTTGTATGAAAATTCATGTACTTGGGGTGGGGGGGAGGTCCCTCAGCCCTGCTGCCCCCTGGTGGTCAGTGCACACCATAGCGACCGGTTGTTCCCGGTCATTCCACCATTTGGGTCAATTTGCATATTACCCTTTTATTATAGAGGAGGATATTTACACCATTTTCTTTATTAAGAACCTCACCAACCTGACCTACATTGTTGAATCTTTGTAATTTCTTCTTCCATCTTCACTCTTTTTTCTGTTGCTTTGATGATAAAATGGAGAAATGGAGTTTTCAGCAACTGGACCTAAAAGTATTGTAGCGAAAACCAAATGTGCCAAAATGTTATCAGAGACGCATGATCTGTTAAATTACTCAGATTTCTGAATGGCACCTTCATGGCTCGTTGGTTTTTGCGGTCACACTGCACTCTATTTCCATTTCTCTTTGACTCTTTCAAGATTGACATGGATGGATTGTTTCTCCTTTTTCCAATGTGGAAAATTGTATGCAAAATTGTGCTCATCTCTTTACAACCCTGGGGATTTTATATGATAAAATTTGCATGTTTTTTTTCCCTTGTTTGTTGCTTTCAGTTTGATATCCCACACATGAGTGAAATGATATGGTTCTTTGCTTTTTCTGTCTGATGTATCTCCCTTAGTAGGATACTCTCAAGGTCCATCCATGTTATTGCAGATGCTAAGTGTTTTGTCCTTGCTTATGGCTGAGTCGTATTCCATGGTGTACATGTACCCCATCTTCTTTATCCAGTCCTCTATCGAGGGACACTTCAGTTGTTCCCATGTCTTCGCCACCGTGAATAATGTTGCAATGAACATTGGGTTGCATATGCCTTTGTGAATAAATGTTTTCAGGTTTTCGGGGTCGATACCCAGAAGAGGGATTGCTGAGTCACGTGGTAAGTCTATTTTTCATTTTTTGAAGACCCTCTGCACTGTTGTCCATAGTGGCTGCACCCATCTCCATTCCCACCAGCGTGAGTGCGAGTTCCCTTCTCCACTGCCTCTCAGCACCCAACCACTCGTCTGTTGCTAATGGCCTAACTGAACAGGGGCGAGGTGGTAGCTCGTTGCGGTTTTGATTGGCATTTCCCCAAGAGCTCGTGGGGTTGAGTGTCTTTTCATGTCTCTGTTGTCCGTTGTAGGTCTCCTTGGGAGGGTGTCTGTGCAGGTCCTGTGCCCATTTTTCTACTGGATTGTTTTTTGGTGTTGAGTGGTGTGAGTTCTCTGTATCAGGGCTCTGCCGTCTGCGAACACCTCATGGACACGGACAACAGTGTGGTGGTGACCAGAGGGAAGAGGTGTGGGGGGCGGGGAAGGGGGCCAACTACATGGTGACGGAAGAGGATTTGGCTTTGGGTGGTGAACGCACAACGGAATATTCAGATGATGTGTCATAGACTAGTACCCTCGACACCTGTGTAATTTTACTAACCAGTGTCACCCCAATAAATTTAATGGGCACCATAAGGTTTTACAACCTCACATGTTGCCA